TCTCACAACAGTTTAAACTACTAAAATAAATATTACTTTTCATAACTTGGAGAAAAGTCAATTTCTTGAATGTGTTCCAGCATAACAGTGTAAAGTTTGCATTGCTCTGCAGAACATTTCCACTCTTCATATTGTCCTCCTGCCGGCTCGCTGTTTCGTGATCGGCGCGTGTATTATATGTAGAGTTCGGAGTTTTCGGTTTAAACCGATAAAAACCGATAAAAGTACGCCGAATCCATTTTCAGAAATTCGGTTTTAACCGAAAAAGGTCAGTTTGTAGGTTCGCCATTTTCGACTTAAACCAATAAAAACCAATAAAAGTACGTCGAATTCATTTTCTAAAATTCAGTTTTAATCGGAAAAGGTCACTTTGACCTTCCAGTCAAACCGCAGAGCCGTGGCGAAAAAGTGGCACGACAGTGCCGACCGAAACGTGTCCGAATGGATGGGATACACGGATGCCATCATGACGTTATGGTTTAATGTGCGCATCATCAATCGGAACTTGAAGTCCGAAATGCCCCATGACTTTGCCATGTACGAGCCTGTTTTCAAACTCGTCGTAAGGAAGACTGGATGCAAGCTCTGCATGTTGTGCTGTGCTTCAAAACGTCGCACCGTGTCTCTTTTGGCGGTCACAACGGGTTGATTGGCCGACTTCGCTCAGGCAGCGCTTCATCTCCTCAGCCCCCCAGTGTCCAGTGTTAGCGTTAAGAGGGCATTCTCGAAGCTCACGATCATATTAACAAAAAAGGAAAAGTGCGGATCAACGAAGAAAACCTGGGAAAGTACCTGCGTGTGTACTATAATAAGATCACGTAATCCCGATGTACAGAAAGTAAAGTTCCGTGTGTTTTGGGCATAGGCTTCATATCTGATTTGTTTGTACTTCCCGTGTTTTTTTGTTGTTTCTTTTACAGTTTCAAACATTTGCCAAATAAAGTATCGATTTCATTTTCAAGTTATCTGTGCAGTTATTCTTTGAGTGATCACAAATATCAAAGCTACAAGGATTGTCTGATCCGGTGTCCGTTAGTATTTATTTTAATTCACCGAAAGAAGCCGATAAACTTTTTTGGGCATAAATATACACCGAAAAAAACCGAAAATTGAATTTTAAAATAAACACCGAAAAAAGTATGCCGAATTTTGCAATAATAGAAACCGAAAACGCGGAACCCTAATTATATGCCTTGTATGCCATTTACGAGAAAGATTCCAGATGAGACAACCAATTATCACTTTTATTGTCAGGCTTACGAAGAGAATGCGGAGCACGGAAGCGGTCTCAGCAAAAGTAAAGTCCCTAAACACAAACAAAAAAAAAAAAGTTAACCAAATGTTTTCTAACCTTCCAAACAAGCGGCCCGCAGGCAAGGCGGCTATGAGTCCCGGTTCCCATGTCCCAAGCGCTAGAAGTGACATGTGCCATAGTGACCTCGTCTCAACGTTTCATTTTCGCTCGAAAAGTACCTCCTGTTCTTTTAATATATTCACACAGTTCATACTTATTTGTGTTCATTTGCCCTTTGTTTCACTTTATTTTTTGCTCCACAGCTTTTTGTAATCTACAACAATTCCGCTACTAGGCTGCAAGTGCGAGCTCTTTGTTGAAGGATGCATATCAGCTGCGCAAACTATCATCAGGAGTAATCTCCAAAGATAAAGCTACAAGCTTGGAATTCTCGCCTTAAAGAAAAAAAAAGAAAAATAATCACCATTAAAAGACAAGTATTTGCTCAAGGTGTTGTAATAAAAATCGTCAGGAAAGAAAGACCTGACAATTTAACTGATTGCTTTTTTAGAGGCAGGTTGAGCCTGGTTAATGTTGAGTGAATTGAGCAAGGGGAACGACAGTGTATTTGCTCTCTTGTTCAATTAAAAATGCCAGCTTCTGTCGCTGGTGCCATTTTAGTTTTGTTATCACATCAGGTCAGGGCCCAAAGTAACCATAAAAAGAAATCAAATCTAAAGACGGCACTGGCAAAGCTGCGTTTACAAAGAACATAGAGCATGAGGTCTCTCCTCTTTTAAATCTTTTTTTTACAGCGGAGCTGTTAAGGGCTAGGTTCTTGAGGATCGTGTCCGGTACAAAATACTTGTCCACAAAAACGCCTCTGACAGCTACCGCCATCTATAAGCAATGGCGGCAAGCACACAACCAGTATGGTTGCCACCGTCGCTCGTAGATGGTGCCAACCTTTCCAGCTATTATAGAAGAATGGATAGTTGGTGGGAATTCATCGTAGGAAACAGTGCAAAAAACAGACAACGACAAAGAAGGAGCACACGTAACGAGCGCAGCGCTCATCAAAGTGTGTTTCTTCGTCTTCGTCTGTTTTGCGAGCTGTTTCCTACGCTCTTATCAGTTTCGATTTGGACTCAGGATGGGTCGGCCGTGCGCCCTTTCGGGAAAAGAAGACTGGCTGCGGAAGGAGCGGTGACGTACGCAGCAGCGCGAATGGGTCCATAATCGCCGCAAAGCCGCTGTCGCCTCGACTTCCACTGCGTCGAGCGCTTCAGATTTCCTTGCCAAAGGAGAGCACATTGCTCGCCTGGAAAGTTGCCGCCAAAAACAGAACCAGCCATGTAAAGGGCGCCGGCGGGCCAACGCCACGGACGACGATTGTGCCATGGAGGCCAAGCGCAAGCACGAGGCCTGGCAACAACTGCACTCCACGCCGGCTGAACAGTTCCCGGGCGCGACGGCGATGTTCCGGAGGGAGTTCGTGAATTACCCGTTTGGCGTCAAGTGCGCCGTGTGCGACCGACTCTGGGTTGCCAAAGACATATCCACGATCGGCGGCGTGTCAGAGAAGAAGAAGCAGGAAATGGACGTGTGTACGTTGCAGCAGTGTATCGAGTACAGCTCTGCTGGTCTTCCTTCTCTACGAAAATGGAAAGGCTGAACGTTTTTTTAATTTAATTTAAATTAAATTAAAACCCCCGTCCGGCCCCCACACTCAAATAAGTTTGAGACCACTGGATCATATGATCGGTGAACGTATGCCAGCATTGTTCGGACCTGCGTGCATGGTGCCTAGCACTCGGCAGTGACAGACCAGGAGAAGAAAGTGATGACCGAAAAACTAATGTTTATTTTTCGTACATCCCTTATATAACCTGATGGCACCAGCGGTGCCATCTGTTAGGCATGCCAACAAATACAACAATAGGGCGGCGACCCCTACAAACGTGCTGCTAGGTATGCTTATATGCGCAATGTAATGCACGCAGCACATTCCGTGACACTCTGTCAAAAATAAACGACAAACTGATATGCCGGTACTTCTGACAAAGCCTCCTAAGCAAGTCTCATTTTCGGAGATCAGAGATCTGCATGCCGTCAGTGGCCGAGCTGTGGCACTGACGGAACAAAGCAACCCGCTCAAACAAGTGCTTCGAAGGCGCTGGCACGGGGTGTATTATTGCCTCTCTGTGGAGCCTGCGCTCACAAACAGAAACAAACACGCAACTTTTATTGTATGTTGCTCATATTCATCCAAACAAGGCATATTTCTAAACAACAATAAGATAATTTAGTTTTCTTCATGTTCGAAACGGACGAGTTAGACCATAGCCCCCTATATAGGAGGCTAAGGTTAAACAAACACCAAATCCCGCGGTTTTTCTGCCTTCTGCAGGCGCTTGACGGCTCATCGCGGCACCATGAATTGAAACAGAACACCGTGTCTATTTACCTGGTGCGATATAAATCATGGTATTTCTCCTTTGATGAAAATAGGCACTTAGCGCTTGTTAGTGTGTTCAAGAAGTTTAAACTAAGTTGATGAGAGTCAGTTGCCTCGATTTTGACACAACAACATCGGTTCAGCGTGATCTAAACGACCACAACATGGTATACCACGGTGGACAGTAAAAAAAAATTCTAATAAATTTAGCGATACAAGAAAAAAAAAAGAAGCTTCTTTGGCCAGTTTTGGCACGAAATTTGCGCTTGGGAGCGGGATGGCACAGCACAAGTGAAATAGTGCACAACGGCACAATTGGTGCAACGCTTCCATCCCTTTATACATGGGGTTGTCTCCTCACCTATTGGAGAGCTAAAGACATGAGCTTGGAGAGGGGGGCGGGGGTGGAGGGGGGGTGCATTTCACCAATTGTTTTAGGAGCTGTGATGACATGCAAGTCTAATTGAAATCAAGTTTTATTGTTCTAGTTCTACCTCTTGCAATACAGGGTCCAAAACAAGTTGCAAAAATACTACCTCCTCTTAATGTGTATGTTTACTCTCCGTGTTGCATTATCCCATATCTTAAAGGGGCGGTGCAACGATTTTATGGTCAAAAGAATTTGCATCTTGTAATTTTTACGTTGTTTATCGTGTCGCAGAGGATAGAGAAAACACCTCCTTCATTAAAAATGTCGCCCTTCCGCTACATAATCGCAAAGCAAAAGTCAAGCTTTTTCCCCCACCTGCAGCCCCAATTGGCAGCCAAAGGAACTACGACGAAAAGATTACGTGACCTCGCTTGGCTGCAACATAACACCCGCTAATGTCAGCAGAGAGAGAGGGAGAGGAAGCGTCCTCTGAGAGAGCACACGGGAACCTACACGGCACTCCCAATGACGTCACTAGGAGGGGGACCAGGTGTGACCCTGAAGGCTGGGAGCGAGTTGAGTGGTGCCCGAAATGCCAATATTTCTCTTTTTTTTAAGCAACAACTAGAACATGCAGGCGACATCCGTTTACTGATCTTTACTTGAGCAGTTACTTGAGAAGTGACAGAGGGCAACCTCCAGAAATCTTTGACCGAAGTCCGGAAATCGTTGCACCCCCCCCCCCCCCCCCCCCCCCCCCCCCCGCTTTAATATGTTTAACCAACTAGCCCACCAGATGATCTTGATGCAGGGCATCCAAGGAATGATGCAAATCTACAACATTAGATGACAAAATGTTAAAATCAAGTAATCCAACGTTCCTTTTAGTTCATGTTAAGATGTGCATGTGAGACAAACACACAAAAAAAAGTTCTCACCTTTTGGTTCTGGCTTATTAGTGGTTGAGCTATGTTGTAAGACTCCTTAGGACAGCAGTAGATGAGTTTGGCCCCCATTGCCTGTTGGAAAATAAAAGATTAGCCTCATTACACTAGTGTAAGTGTAATGGTGTAACTTATATCAAATGATTCACGAACAAATGTATCTTACCAATAAATACCTCCGTGTTCACATTACTTTTAATGTGTCGTGAAAAGCTCCTACCCATCACGTAATTGCTAACGCTAAATCTATGCTTGAATAACCAAAACGAAATTTTACACTAGACCCAATGTTATTCAAATTACTTTTTGTAAAAATCTAGTTTGATCCAAGCTGGAATACGCCATTCGGAGACCTGCAAAGTTGCAGCGTACGTTTTGTACTCTCTTACTATCATCATAGTGCTAGTGGCTGATCTAGGAAAGTCACTCTATCCCTGCCGCTCCTTTTCTTAAATCAAAAAATATCTCGTTTATGCATTTCTACAGAATTGATCATTATAGTGCTCTACTAGACTACAGTCGCCAACCGATTTTTCGGACGCCGATAATTCGGATTTGTTCACTACTTCGGACCTAAAGAAGGAACTGTGACCTACCCGATAGAAATAATGCATATTCACGACCAATGTTTCGGACAGCTCTAGTCCGAATTTCAATTTTTCGGACATAACTGTCGCGAGCGATCGACGGAAAACACCACTGAGAAGCTGCACATGGATTGGCTGCACATGGATTGGCTTAGTTTGGCATTAATACTCGAGTACTGCTAAGTCCTACCGCTAGGTCTGTGTTCCAAAATTTACTCGATCCGACTCCGGTGTAAAGGTTTCGTACCGTGACGTTCCAAAACTTACTCGCGCTTGCTCGATGACGTCGGAACTCGCATTCCAGAAGCGAGTTGTTTACTCCCCAGTAATTACTCACGCTACCCTTCTCAATCGCAGGATGACATTAGATAAAATTGAGTAAATATGTCACGTGATCCGTTCGTCGTCTGCTTTCTGCGCCGACAGCCATCAAAGCTCGTTTGCTCCATTGGCTTTAGTAGTGGTTGTTCGAAATTACGAAGAACGAGGTGCAGTCATTTATGAGTGGCTATTGTGATTTGCTGGTTTTAACGCAAGAATTGACTGCAGACCCAGGCTGTGCACCTTCACCGGGAAGGTATACCCACTGTTATTATCATAGTGCGAGCGTAAACAGGAGCTTCTTTGCATCCTCGTCCTTGGCGTTTGAGGGAATTCCGTATTACCACATTCACGGCTCAAAATATTTGAATACAGTAGATGATGCAAAAGTATTTTTTTCCCCAGAGGGTCTGTAATAAGAGGATAACGCTCGTAAGGCAGTGAAGACTTCGAAGATTTTATGTATATGATCAGTCAACAATCCCTCCCCAAGAAATTGGCTATAGCGGTTTAAAAAATTTTCTTTGTGACATTGTGATTATATTCCCGTCAAAGCGAACATAAGTTACATATCACTATTGAGAAAGTCCTCTGCGCTGTCCCGCTACACCATGTGGAAGCAATTTCTGCAAAACATAATCGGGGCAAATTACGATGCGTGGAATGTATGCGTTTAGAGTGCCTGGACTGAACTTACAGCGATTGCACTGATTAATAAAAAAAATTTTTGATGTCTAACTGAAAGGAGTAAGTAATTTTGATATCAATATACAACCCAAAAGGAAGGTAAGCAAAAGGAGCTGGTGGAGCCACTTCAGAAAACATTGCATAGTCATTAATATTAGATTCTTTGGCTGCTTTCTCCATGATCAAAAAAGATTGTCTGCTATTTTCTGCCACCACTGCTGTGTTTTCTTTTTGCCGTAGCCGAAGATGAAGCCAGTCCGCGTAGTATCCAGGCGATTATAACGGCCGTTCCAAAATCGAGTTGCGAATTGTTTACTTGCAATATCACGTGGCATTACCCGCTGACGCAGGAGACAGGTTACTCGGGTAAGATTTGGAACATGGCCAAGGTGACGCTGCACGACTTTTCTTTCTCTAGCTGTGCGTCATTATCATCATCATTGTTGTTACCATTTTACTTTGTTCATTCGTCATTGCAGTCGTGGACTTGCACCTCTCATCTCGATCTCGTCTCGGTGAATCATGTTTTCGGACTATGCTGGCTCGGCCGTCATTGCCCCATCCATTCTTCCGCCGCCGCTATGAGTCGCTAAGAAGCACAGAAAGTACTCCACCATAACGCCAGAAAAGAATGCAGTGATTCTGAAGCTAATAGAAAGTTGCCGAAGGCAAGTGGAGGCGCAACCTGAAACAAGGTGTGCATGCGTAACCTGAAGCGAGGCACTATTTACGGGTTTTTTAAGCTCGCTTAGACGTAATAAAGGCAATCTTTTTCATCTGGTGATTTTCCGGACTGCGCTATTATTTGGACATTTTTTCGGTCCCTGCGAAGTCAGAAAAATCGGTCGGTGACTGTATTCCTTAGCTCCTCGTAAGTTTCAACACGAGTCGATCGTCAGTTTGTAGTTGGCCTACCTTATTGTTAGAGCCCTGCATATCCGCAGATTATCCACGGATATCCGCGGTAAACTGACGGATTCGGATAAAAATGATTCAAATTTGGCAGATTGCGGATCGAATGCGGATGCCAGGGGCTGCGGATGCAGATCGGATATCCGCAAGTCCGGATATCCGCATCCGCAATGAGTGAGTGGTAATACGAAAGTGTATCATCAAATGTATTGAAGGGGCAAACTACACTCTTAGAATAAATGTGCCAATTGGGAATAAAATCAATATTTACATCAATAAAGATTTGAGTCTCACTAAATATTGCTTTAGAAGGTTTTATCTTGCCAAAAATACTGCCCCCGGAAAAAGGGAAGAATGCAGGAGTATCAGTCGTCGCTAATACGATACTATCAATTTTTTTTTTTAAGTTTTAATAATGCTTGATTTTATTATGTAAAATGAATGCGCAGATCGAGAGTCGGATAGGGTTCCAAATTTTGCGGATGCAGTTCGGATACGGATACAAAGTCTGCAGATGCAGATCGGAAGCGGATATAGAGAAAAAGAAATTCTTCAAAAAACATTGATTTTTATAAATTACATATTTACATCCATCTACATCCAGAGAGTATTCCCAGAAATTTTCACTAGATTACACTGCATAGTTAATTTTTTATAAATTATTTTCTGTCCACCGAAGCTAAAGAAAAGGTAGGGTATGAAGCACTTTGAACGCAATTTTCTGCGTTAAACTTTTTGGTATAAATTCCATTTTAGTCGATCTATCGTTTGATAATGGCAATACAGGGAAGGCTCGTTCTTCACTTTTCCTGACGGAAATTTAATAAGGAATGCGCCTATGGAGTTTGTTTGTCACTTTACAGATGTCTTTTATAAAATATGTTGACATTTTGTCGGGGACACAGAAGACCAAAAAGTTGACAAATTTTGCAGAAGAGAAAATTGATAGAAATCAATGACTTTTTACAAAAAACTTTCCATAGGCACACCCCCTAAGCATTCTGCTACATATCTAGCGAATAAAAATCTTGAATATTGTGATAGTTTTCCGACGATAGATTAACTAAACAATGCAGGGGTGTTGCTGATAGAAGCTGCTCTAATTTCCTTCCCACTTAACCGACAGACCTGAAATTTTGTTATGCACCCTCTAGCATGACCACAAGCCTACCCTGTAAATTTCATTAATTTTAAGCCAAGGGTTCAAAACTCGACCCTCCCAGGGGGTGTCTCCCCTTAAGAACATTGCAGATGCGGATACAAAATCAGCGGATGCAGATCGGATCCGGATGATCAAACTGTTATCTGTGCAGGGCTCTAATTATTGTGAAACATCAGCTTACATTGATGCCCACCCACCAAAAAGGTCATCTGCCTTCTAGCACCTTCAGTAAATGTATCATTACCTGATTTACTTAAAGAGGTGTGACCTATCGCCTTTGCTAATATTGTAACGGACAGATTACTGTCTAACAAAATTGCATTCTTCGTTTGTATTTACAGCACCATTCGTTAGGCACCTATGAGAGGTGCCTAGCCAATGACACTATCCCTGCCTCGTCATTCGCCAGCCACCTTTCGTAGATTGCAGCGATTGGCTATGACTGTGCTCTGTATGGAAGTAACTGAGGAAGGCTTGTTCTTACACGACGCATAAATTATTCGAGTAACTGCGGTACCAATGCGGACAATAAGAGCTGAAACAGTCCTTCGCACATCGTTGGCGTGCCTGCCGGTTTCTTGGAGGGCTGTGGTCCAAACTAGGAAGGAAATGCGGAGTTGAAGTCCCAGACTTCAGACTATTCGACAAATCGAGAGATAGTAGAGCTTACCTATCCGGTCTTTTTCTGCAGTAGCACAAAAAGGACGGATAGAGTGTTTCGGCTCGTACCGTCCGTGGGGGAACATGGATGCGTGGAAAGTGACAGGCAAGACGCAAAACCATGCTACCCCGTAGTTTGTAGCATCCGCGAGATGGGAACGGACGCCGCCCTCGTACGCACCTTGGCCTCGGTGATCTTGCGGACAGACCGCGAGTACGCCCGAGCCGCTCGCGAGTGCGCCTCCTTCTGGGCGACGGACAGGGGCTCGCAGTCGCACTCCATCAGCAGGGGCAGCACCACGTCCGGGTTCAGAGGATTCTTGGCAGAGAGTATGCGTGCCGAAAAACTCCTGGCCGGTGTATGGTACGGCGTCGATCGGACCCCATGCTGAGACCAAAGATGCGGAGCACGATCGTTAGCGGCAGCCTCACAACGTAGTCATGGAATGTTTGTGCTGCCAATTTCCCGTCATTGCAAGCTCCTTATAGTAGACATGTGAGAGTATAAATAGTTGCTAATAAATTGAGAATGGCAGGGTCTTGCTTTTCGAAAGCCCAGCCTCTGGCAGGCGCTCCATGCTCTCCGCCAAGCTTTGACTGCACGCCCGCGATTGAGGTGCATAAGACGCCAAAGCTGACGAAGGTAGGCAGCCCACGCCAAAGGTTGGACAACCGAAGATGCTCCCTCTGCTATTCTCACCTTGCCAGCGACTATAGTACTTTTGAAAGCAGAATGCTTTTACGGGCTGGTTTCCAAGTGTAGAGCGCCACGAAAGGTCCCTACAAAAACGTTACAATACAGCCGAGTCACGTAGCCTCAATTAAGCGGAAAGCGTTTCAACCAAATTACCTCACGTATGTCTCGACGTCAAGCAACTTTTCTCCAAAAATTTAGCGGGAGAACTTCCTGCTAGAAAAACAAGAGGTGGCTGCCAGACCTCTGGTCTTTATACCGGTGCCTGGTGTCGCAGAAGACAGTGATGCACCTACCATGGGACCAGGGGCCGGTGCTCCGGGTGCCTGGGGGATTCTGTTGAAGGGACCCCCCTCTGCTCGCACCTCGGCAGCCAGGTCAAAGTCCTCGTCTGAATCGGCGCCCTCGGCGGCGGACGCCACCGCCAGGTCATACTTGCGCACGGTGTCCGAGATCTTGAGGGCGGCCACACGCGCAGCCTTGCGAGAAGGCCGGATATTCGACTGCGGAGAGTCCTGGAAAGTGAAAGGTGATTAAAACCTTTCGTCGGCTCCCAAAGATCGCCGATGATGGTTATGCTTGCCGTTAGTTTGTGCAAGGGGGTGCTTGACTTTCCCAACAGCACTTAGGAATAGCATACTATGTGCGATCAGCTGTTCACGAGACAGAAGTTTGTTGAGGGGAATAGAAAAATCGGAGTATCAGCTACAGTTTTTTGCGAAAACTTGCACATTTTTTTATGGTTCCTCTCACAACACGACATTAGCAAAATAACTAACAAAACCTGAGAATAACCCCAAGAGGAAAAGCCAACAAAACAAATGACAGCTCAAGTTTATTTGAAACTGTTTAAATACATGCATGGTTTACTTTCCCTTCTGCTCTTTTCCTTTACAGCCTTTGGAAATATAACCTGACATGTAAAACACACCTTACAGCACCAAGCACATTACACTTAGTATTTTTGTGGCTCACATATTGACGGTATCAGAGCCAATCTTAGAGTAGCCCCAACATGACAGGAGATAATTAAGCTTTTAGCTCATTGATAACTACTAGAGCACTCAATATCACTCATACAAAGTCATTTGATTGTAAAATGAGCTATAACTCCTTAGTTCGTAATTTGCATGCACTGCTACAATACGAAACAGTCACACCTGCCATATAATGGCAACTTGGGCCATAGATTAAAAAAATGTGTGTCATGTGTTCTAGCTATATTAGTACAGAATCTATGGAATTGCACCTGCTATGAAGGAGCATAGTAGGTAGTTGCAGGTAATTTTGCCATAAAAATCAGTGTATGTACTAACACCAATGAGGAATCTTTGGGTTCATTTTCAAAACACAGGCTAAGCAACTAAACCTGTGCTTTTAGTGACATGAACTAGACTACCAAGATCAAAAATGGTATCAGGAAAATGCACTGGCAAGACGAAAATAATCCCTGGAGAAGGGGAACAAGAGGGACAAAGGACAAACACAAATCTCCAAACACAGCTAGGCGACTGGTGAGCGACCGAAAAAATCTGCCTGGTCCAAGTATCGAACCCGGGACCTCTCCATTACAGGTGGAGCGCTCTACCAACTGAGCTAACCAGGGGTTAGACGTCAGTAGAGCAAACGGGTTTTATCAGCTGCCACCAGCCTAACATCAACAAGGGTGAAGCTTGCAGTTTAAGGTTATAATTATAATACAATTAAATGCAGAGGTGCAAGCGAGCCGGAAAAGAATGATGTCCTTTTCGTCATTCTTGTCCAGCTCGCTTGCACCTTTGCATTTAATTGCATTATAAATATGCACTGGAAAGCTTTTTCAGCAATACCATAGTAAGGACAATTGTAACTAAAAAAATGACCGCATCTCCACGTGGTGAATGATGTTGATTGCGGCAAAGCTCTGGTGGTGCTGATGATACTGATTTTGTTCATAGGTAGTGCTGATGGTGGTGATTTTTTTTTATTGCTCATAGGTAGTGCCGAGTTCCAGGTTGCATTGGTATGGAATGTGTGGTATGGAACGTGGTTATATATGTATTTGAGCATTTGACCGCAGCGCCCTCTCGTCTATAAACAATAAGCCAATGCATGCAAAGTTTAACACGATTATATACGCATCTGACCGCAGCGCCCTCTCCTGTATAGACGTTAAGCGGCGACATGCAACGTTTCATCCATGACATCCCCAGCTTTTGAGTTACTACCACATCTCAGAGCCCCCTACCCATACCGCAGTCGTGGCTGAGTGGTTAAGGCGATGGACTAGAAATCCATTGGGGTCTCCCCGCACAGGTTCGAAATCTGTCGACTGCGCAAACAATTTTTCTTTTTTTAAGAAGACAGATGGGATGGCAATCGATGTGAGCACGGACGCCAGACGGACAAGGCTAAACCCTAAGGAGCTTCGCCCCTAATATGTGACAAGTTAAGAATGCAGTAGAAGCTTCCCCTGTCCTCAATGACACTTCTGTTAAATGCCCAAATGCCCAAGCACAGTCAAAGCATGAATGAAGGCAACAAGCACACATATGAAAGCAGGGTTTCTACAGCATTCTTAACCTGTGATAGACTATAGTCAACTGTCATTATATGAAATTTAAAAAAAAAAAGAAACAAAAAAAAAAAAAACCTACGCTCTCGGCTATATGGCGATTACTTTAATGTATTTACAAATCGCTTAGTTCATACGCAAAAATTTGGCTGGTTATTAAATTTAAGAGAGCTGGCCTTCGTATTGAACCAATCAATCCATACTGACGGTGCAACGAATGAGTGATGGTTAGCAAGAATGTGGCCTCTAAGAATAATGACGGCCACTCCTGTCTTTGCCACATGCGTAAGCATAGGAGTTAATTTCTTTTTCTTATTCTGAAGTGCTAAGCAAGAAGTCAACAACTACACTTCAAGACAACTTCCTGAAGTAATTATAGATTTGGCCCCTTGTGCACCCAAGCACTTTCAGCATTGATCAAAGCTGCTTATGCATGTGCACTCCTCACTTCTGAAATGCCACATAACTTTATTCCAGAGTATAGAAGGCTTTTCCAACCTGTGATAGTAATTAAAACTGGACTCCACGAAGCAAATAAGCGACAAAGTTTATTTGGTGGAGTCTGACTGCACGCAGTGTCAGAACAGTTGCTGTTGACATTGCAAGCTGAGTGAACGTGTTAGTTACATACTTGTGCTTTGCATTTTGTTTGTACAAACTATTTCCTAATTATACACTTGTAGCTTTTGTTTTATTTTATAATTCAAACAATAATGATTGAGTCAAATTGCCAGAGAAATTGCTACGAGTTAGAGTAAGGAGCCCGGCGTTTGCTAGTCATATCCAGAATTCCAACTGCGTCAACCACTTGGTGACAAGAAAAATGATGTCCCAAGGAAAGGGGCCATCGCCTGCGAGCAGAGTGCAGATCACAGGAATTACGTGGCACACCAGAAGCTTCAACCCACTTACATCCAAATACCACTTATCACAATATAAAATGTGCTTCGACTAAGTGCAGGATGGCACAGAGCCAGCAAAACAGAATGCTTTCTTCACTTGAGCATGTGCAAGTTAAAGCCTGTCCATCAAAGCTCCCCCTTAAAACTACATCTTAGCCCTTCGAAGGCCATGTGTCGGATGTCACTCGACAAAGAAATATTCCCTATGATCAGGAGTTGGGGCTTTCCCGACAGTCTCATTTCTGCTTTGCGGCCAATTGTTGCACACACCCTGACAATTTAGACTAGCGTCATACACCATAGGAGTGAAAGCATGATGCCTTCCATTTTGTACCTTTATGTGAAAAAGCACAAGCAATAACTTTTTTTTTTTTCTAAGACCAGCAAATTTTTGCGCGCACATTCACACCTTGTTTATTATAGCAGATTTTTTCTCATTCGCTTTTATGGAGCCTCATGAATTCATGAGGCGCCCGTCTCCATAGCCTAGAGAGAGTAAAGTCGCCGCTTGACCTCTGTTTGCCCTTGTGACCAATGAAGGGTGCTTCAATGCCTTCTGCCGGCGGCAGAGGGCGTCGACGACATTTCAGCCATCTTGGTGCATAAAATCAGGGTTGGCAGTATGGGGATTCCTGTGGTCTGCCTTCCCTGATGGCTGTGATAACGGCCACAGTTCGAAACGCTTCGCCTCCTTCACTGTGAGCTCCGACCTGTTAGTGAGGCGGAGGGTCCCGTCTTGGAGGGCCCTCCCCTCACTCTCTCTCGGGGGCACCTCTTTCCGTTCCCCTGCTCAGATGCGGATCACTGCTGACAGGCGAGGAAGTTTGGCCTCGTCTTTTCCCGCTTTCTGAAAGGGCACTTGTTCGGTGAACCCGAAAGAGATAGCACACGTATTGGCGACTTCTCTAATGCTTTCCCGCCCTCTGGCACTCCGGAACCCTGCGTCTGGCAGGTAAGGACCTTTTCTTACCTTGCCGGCGCGGGGGGCATTTTGGATGGGGACACAGTAGTTCATGTTGAGAGTGTTTTAATAAATACACTTGGACAATGGCCTTTCTCTGGTACGTGTCTTCTCTTTTGCTATGTTCGTGACAGTGAGACAAGGTAGACAATCATTGGCACCGACGGAGGTAATTTATCGAACTGAACCGCAAAAATGTGGCCCTAAACGTCGTCTATATTGCCGCGAAGATGTGGGGACCACGCTACTAGGTTTGATGTCTCCTTTGAGATTGCCGCCATTGTTGAGATGGCCCTTCGGTTACTGTATCGGTACCTCTGCTTGGTAGCTAGCAAAATCCCACACCAGTTATCTGAAATCACAGGAAATGCTTTTCCGTCCTCCAGAAATGTTAAAACAGTCTGCGACAGAGAAAAACATTATCACCCAAGCTCCCAAACACAGTATCTAAAGCTGAGGAAGTTGCATTTTTTAATTGTGACAATCGACAGTTGAGTTTGCTGTGCACTAAGCACCAAGACGGCGGCGCCCACTAGCAGATCGGGGAACGGAGCGCAGATACCATAGACCATTCCATTTAGAGCTCTCAGGGCGGCGCCATTTTGTTTGATTGCAGCGCCCTCTCCAGTCATCCGGGAAGTTCAGCAGGTTCGGCGGGTAGAACGAGAGAGAGCACGCACCTGATCCCGCTGGCAGACGACAAACCGGGAAGTTGCCGTTCTCAAATCTTTGGGCTGTACCGGTGGGCTGTACCGAACATCAAACTTTCGCACGTGGCTGCTGTTGTGAAGTGGTTCGCGTTCTTAGAATATTTATGGCTGCTCCAAAATTAGCCTATAGTGCTCTGTTGTTTTATTTCAGTAAATGATCAACTAGCGTATCTTTGTTCCGTTCCTTCAATAGCAGTGGAGTCAGCAGGCGGTACTACCCTCAACCACTGCGTCTATTGCATCATGAGAGTACATTTTTATTTATTTATTCAATATTTCCACTCATGACCGCTAAAGGCCTACACCAGTACAAACTTTGTAGAGTAAAAAAGCTACAGCAACCAAATTTATTTCATGCCGGAGAGACCGGCCGCTCTGAAACAGTTTTCCGGTCTTTTTGTTTTTCTATTTGCATGCAGGTAACAGTGCAATTGGACCCGGTTAGTCTTTTTACCAAGCATAGCATTACACGATAACTTGCATATCGAAATCCGCGCATCTGCGCTTGAAATTTCAGAAATGACGTGATTTTAAAGAGAGTTTGAACGCCAGCCGGATGTTAGGCACAGCCCACTCTGCGGAGCAGACGACGCAAAAGGTGAGAAAGGGAGGGCATTTTTTTCTCCCTCCGCTCTTCCTTGTGGAACGGTCTATAAGCGTAGCTCATTTAGTGGCATGTTTTCAGCATGTAGTCAACAGATGGACCTGGTCCAGTCTGCTTGGACCATGTGGAAGCCAACTCGCCGGCTTGCGAATTCCCACTTTTTATAAAAACTATGTTAACGATTCAAGTGACAATGAAGGTAATTTTAGCAGACAAGACAACTCTGCAGAGCACTGTGAAAGTTTCTGTGATGGATCCCCAGACAATGGCTGTTACGAGTTCTGTGAATGACAGTGATGAGGAGAGTCTTATGGACATTGCAATTTCTCAAACCTGGACAGCCTAAAAAAATGCAGACCACAATTTGGAAACTCCTTGTTGTACACTCCAAGGTACAGAGTCAGACACCACTTAAAACACTATGTTTTCAAGGATGCTTCGGTGATACATTTTATTTATGACCACTAAGTGATTGTATTGTTTTAGTCTAAAATATTTCTGACCCAAGGAACCAACAAGGTGCAAAGTCGCATGACCCCAAAATTTTAAGCTTGATGGACATTGCTCATAAAATCTCCACAAGAGGAAACAAACTATCAAGAACAGTGAACGTTTCAAGATCATACCTGATCCAAGTCACTGTTGTTAGCAGCTTCGAGGAGGATCAGCTCACGGCTGGTCTTCCGTTTCCGCTTAACTCCATCAGGATTAGGGCTAGGCTTTGGCTTGAACTTGGGCTTGGAAGGAGACGGCTCCTGTCCCGAGAGGCGCATAGAAGGAACCGCAATCTTGCGCACCACCCCTCGCTCGGCATAGTCAAAAGGGCGGAAGTGTCGTGAGCACACAAAGAGGTCATCCGCCTCGGCTTGCTCCTCTGTGAGACCAACAGCTGTAACCCACTTGGCTCGGAGTCCATCCCCTTTTTTGGGAAAGGGGTGCCACCAAGTGCCAGTGTTGTCACACACCGAAACGGCGCACACCTTCATCATCGAGACGCGTCAACTACAATGCTGTACATCTTGCTAGATCGCTCCCTCCTCTGAAATGAGAAAAATCAGCAAGAGACACATCTGTCAGGCAAAAAGCAGATACGAAAAGTAATAAACAAACAAAATGTGAAGGAAGGAAGCAAAACTGCTCTGTGTGTAGAAGGCGAAAGTTTGTGTTACACATGAGAAATAGAGCCCTGCATGGGCCCGGGCCGACCCGACAGCTCGGGCTGGGCAGCTCGGGCTGGGCAGCACGTATTGTCTTTAAGCAGGGCTTAAAGGGGCCCTGCAACCATATTTAAGCGTCTACCTTTTTTGCGGTTTCCACGTCCCTCGGGGTTCGACCAAGCCGGCGGGCACAGAGGGAGTAACTAAATATCAGTGCGTCATATTTTAACCGGACGACGCGGAAACCTCCTCCACCTACGGGGGTGACCCGCGGTGCCGAAAGCGCGCGATATGTGACGTCTTAGGTCCTGGGCTTACTACTGGTCAGAGCCGCTAAAGGCTTCTTTTTTGTCAAAATACAAAATATAGGTGGCGCGAAAAGTTTCAATTATTTATAAAAGTAGTTTTTGTTTACTATTTTAGATCAGAAAAAAAACAAATGCAGTTTGTAAAGTACGGAAACGAGAAATGACCCGTCGACATACCCGCCATTAAGCAGTGGAAAAGGCGGCGCATACTAGAAAGGTGTAGTGGGATCAGACGCCAACGAGCAACGAGCATAGAAAGCTACCGGATGTAAGCGGCAGCGCTGCGGTCGTACGGACTGGCGGATCTGACCGGTTCCGAGCGTTTCCAAGGCCTTCAGCGCGAAGTGGCTGCCGTTCTAAACTGATCTTTACCCGTGTTTGCTGTTGTTTGTGGCCAATGAAGTGCCATGCCGAATTAGTCTTTAATTGCACAGAAAATGCAACGCAAGCTGCCCGCTTCATACAGCCTATCCAGGAGAACATGCTTTAGTGGCGCCCTCTCGAGCCGTCGACACTGAGTGCAGCAGTCGTGACCGCTCGCTGAGCTCACTACCGCTCGTCTAATTCACGGCCACTCACGCAACCAAGAACATCATGAAGGAGGTTATTTTTTGCGTGTTTTTGTAATTTTAATTTGCCTATAACTTCTAAAATAACACAAAATTAGAGAAAAGAAAAGTTTCATTAAGTTACTACGTTCAGTGCGCTCAGGTTCGGTGCAAATTAAAAACCAGTAATAAAAGCTTCTCGCAGGGCCCCTTTAACACTCCGACAGGACAAACCTTCTTCTATGTTAGAATGTGAAGGCAGTACATTAGTGCTCTCTTCTTTTTCTCACCTCAAGCTTGATTTAACATGTTTACTGCCCTGACTGAAACAGAACCCATGTGCCTAAGAACATAGCTCTATAAAACCATTAAGCAATAAATAAAGTATTATTATTATTATAAGGTGCTTCTCAAGCTAAAGGTGGCATCTTGTCCATGCAGCTTTTGTTTAGTTTAAAGATCAATGAACGAACGCAGCAGCGCCAGTCTCTAAAGCACGAAAGGCTTTTGAAAGGAACCCATCCACCCACGCAATTCCCTGCTAAAGTTATTAACAGGAAAACTGACGTTATGTGACCTGGCATCACATGACATTTACACCAATTCAGTTATCCTGCTAAATGTAGCAGGGAAATTGACTTCACGTAACCTACAGACCAATTGTTTCACCATTAAAACTTAGCGGAAAAATTTACGTCATGTGACCTAATCGCCACTTCAGCTTCCCCGCTAAATTTAATGGGAAAATTGGTGTCACATGGCCCGACATCACATAACTTATGCATTCACACATGGCTCCGACGTCACGCTGCTGTCAAAAGGGCACATGCACGAATCACATTTCTGTGCCCGTGTGGTGCCAACACCCAGTGTGGCCAAATGCTGACTTGTTTGTAAACAGCGTGTCGGTTCAGTTTTCTCACTAAAGTTAGCAGGCAACTTGACATCTATTGACATCTGGATGGATTCAGCTGCCCCTCTAAGTGTAGCAGGGGCGATTGTTGAAATATATAGGGTCTTCACTCCAAAAACAACTGTTTGACATCTAAATAAATTGAAACAATTGTTCTCGAGTACTTCATTCCATGCATGTAGAACTTCGGACATAAAGGTCACTAACACTTCTTTTTCCTGAGCAGATCAAGTGCAACAACACTTTACCAAGACTGCTTTGGATTTAGGAGATGTTTCATCTCCCAGTTGGGGCATCCCCACCTCAGGTCGGGTAAAAGTGGTGGCGAATTTCACTGGTCGTTTTGGAGCGTGCTGGGATTAACTTTTCTGGAGCACGCCTATTTCACTAGGCGATTGGGATCAAGACAGATGCGTTCCCCTAGCCGTTTTGGATCAGCTTCCACTCCAGATCTCCGCCGCAATCCAAATCCAAAAGAAGTCACTTTGCTGATTTCAGCAGATTCAACCGGAAGCCAGAATGGCCAGCCCTCGGCGCGCACATGTGACTTGCTTTCTCATTGGGCATCTCGCCTCAGAATTCGTAATGGCCACTCGCGAAGTGCCGCCCGCTTTACTGCTGCTGCTGCTGCTGCTGCTTGATGACAGTTTGTCATCAAGCTGCTTGAGCAGCTCCTCCAGCAGCAGCAACAAGGATTGTTTGTATATGTCAGATGAATTCCGACTGCCTCCTCAGACCTCGGCAGAAGAGGCCGAAAATCGAGACATACTTGGACACTGTTCATGAGTTTTCCGATGAGGAGGCAAGTCAGCTACGCTGATGCATATGCTTATCGACATGCATCTTTCACATCATGATTAACTCCGCTCGTGCGTTGAACACCTGTTTTTAGCACTGCGATTGCAAAAACCGCAAAAAAAACATCTGCTTCCCAGATCCCGGACTGCGATAAGGGGATTCCTAAGAAGGCCGATCCCCAAGGAGTGGTCACGTTCCACTGGGGATCCGGGGGTGGAGCGACTTCGTTCGGATCGCATGCTCCACCTCGGATCTGGTCTACTGATCTTGGCGCACTCCAAAATGACCAGCGGAATTGGTCACGAGTCAGCAGGCCCAGGCTGGGCCTCGAAAAGTAGGCCCGTGCAGAGCCCTAACAAGAAAACCCTCATCTGGAATGTAACTTTCTTCTCATTCTTCCACTTACCGAGAAAGAGGCAGTTTTATTCCCTTTTTAATTGATAAAACTAAAAGGCATTAAAGTTTTTATGAACAACTGCTTTAAAGAATATTTTTGAATGCTCATATTATGAACACAATTTAATCATACTACATCCAACCAAAGTCTGTGAAGCGTGAAGGCATGACAATGAAATCATCCAAGTATAAACAATTCTGTACTATGGCCTGTAGAGTTGCTTCAATAAAAGACTTCCTGTCTTTTAGGCAGTCCACAGGTTCTTAACCTGCAAATGATACTGCTTTGATGATAACCTAGCCCTGGGCACAAAAGATTAGGGCTAAGGCAAAGATAAAAAGGAAGAGTATGCATGCTTGTTGAGAGTTAACCGTGATAACTTCCATGTAAAAGCATTATGTGTCGAACTAAACAACCAAACAGATACCGTTCTCACCTATGTGGGCTATCTCGAACACCGCTGCGCGCACGTCTCAAGCAAGTAAACTACAGGCACAGATATTACAAGCCAGGACAAGGTCCAGGTCCATCTGGAAGCGCTAGTCTTGAGACCATTGCCTAGGGAGCCCACCATTGCTCATAGCGTCTGATGTTCCGCAGGTGGCGAAGCACGCACAGTTCCGCCATTTCTCTCATTTTTAGTATGCGAAAGGGAAATTTACTTGGAGATTACGTTTCAGATTTCACAAAAGATAAAAACTCTCTTCCCTACAAGCGGACGCGGAGTGCGTGATAGGCAGCTGGCTCCATTGTAACCTTACACGCCTTAGTCAGTTTCAATCGCACAAAACAAGTACGCGAGTTACACATATCTTTTAAACGCTATCGATTTTTCTAGCTTTTATCGTTTTTGTTTTGTTTGGTTAAATTAAGCACGGTTAGTCACGAGGGTCGGTCACGGGGTGTACTTCTGCCGCCCGCTGCAGCACTCCTAGTGGGCTTTTTAAAAAAATGGCGTCTGGTGATTCGAACACACTTCCTTCTACGCGAGCGGCACTCGAGATTCGCGATTCGGAGCGCGCCACTTTAAAACTGTGCAGTTTCGCTGTGCATACCTCGGTGAAACGTCGCAGTGGGATCTTGTGGCGAGAGTCGATAAAGGGCAAGCATGCACGGAAGCCCAGAGAACAGCTCCTTGAAATAACGCGGAATACGAACATACATCGGTCACGAAAACGCGTCCATTCTTCCTCTCGAACAGTGTTGCCAACATCGACCAACGACGAGCGTTACCATGGCTGCGCACGGCGCGCGCGACGCTTTTACGTTTTTCAGGTGCTTCGGGGGAACCTCGTTCAAGGGAATCCTGGGATGCGCTAAATGCTTCAAATAAAAACCGATGAAGAACGTTAGAAATTTTACTTTTGATTCTTTTGATACACACCTGCGTGCGTAGGCTTTTTTATTTATTTTTTTTATTTGTTTATTGTTAGCTAGTTGTCTCTGTGGCAGCATGGGCTGTTTTGTTTTGCATTGTTTTGTGCGCGGAAATAAATATTGAACAACTAATTCTGGGCAAAGCGCAAAGGCGGTGGCGGAGCATATCGGAGTCATCGGAACGATCGGAACGATCTACTAAAACCCCTATATAGATTTATTAATTATTGAATGTGAAGTTTTGAGCAAGAATTGTTTGCTTAGTACACGCTGATCGCCTTCTACTTGTTTACTCATGCTATCGGAACTCTATTTTGTTTTAGAGAAACTATTTCTTTTTTCTTTTTTTAAGAAATTAACAGCGTTAATATTTATAAAGTCCTATGGGAGCGTCAGGACGCCGAGCTCGGATTGACTCTGAATGAAGGATAGCGGGTAGACCTCAAGACAGCTTTCTTTGAGGTCTACCCACTATCCTTCAGGCCTGCTCAGAGTCCTGACATAGTCCTGACGTCACCACAACTCTTGCAAAAGAAGCAGACGAACTTTGCTCTCCGCATACGGTTAGAAATTGAGGGAGATGAGGACGCAGGGGGGGGGGGGGGGGGGGGGGGGGGGGGGGGGGGGCTGGCGTTTGAACGCATATGCCGGACGGCAGCATTCGGAGTTAATTTGAAAGCATTCGAAGATTGAGTAGGGGGATCGGTGGCCGAGTGGTCTAGCGCACACCATATACGGCTCTGGCGCACACCAGCTCGGAGCACGTGGAGGGAAAGCTCGCGCTGCAGAACCCAGGGATCATGGGTTCTGCACCTCCTGGAAGAGAAGGCCGTAGCCAATACCACCTCCGAGTGGTTATGTCATGTCGGACGAAGAAAGGCCATGGCGCAACTACGTGAGAAATTATATGGTATCGACGTGGAAAAAAATATGTTTGTCGAGCGGCGCGGTGGTGTTCGTCAAGGAGGTTATAAGTACTAGGAGGGGGCACGCTATAATATTGGTGACTCGGTGAGGTCTAGTCATAAAAATTTTAAACGATGTTGTGGCCAACGTGATCGTAGATCTCTCTGGCAATTAGTGCGCGTGACATGTCACGTTTGAGATAGATGGTTGATTGTAGGCTTCCTTGCAGGTTGCTCGCGCTCCATCCGGTAGGTTTTATAAGATAGAAGGCTAAACGAAGGCTAGCTATGGTCACGTGATGTGGTAACGTTGGCCCGATAAGTGAGGAAAGTAAGGAGGAAAATGAGAAAAAGGCGAAGTGTCGAGGGAGCATGGCTTGTGGAGGCTACGCGGCTGATGTCATGCCCTCTCCTACCCTTCTATCCTCCTTGGTGTTCGTGCGCGTTTATCCGACATTAATATACGTTTTAAAAGCGCGGTCTTGTATAATTTATTATATATATTATATAATATAAACGTAATATAGAACGCGTTACCAAGGTTGGAAGTACCAAATTTACAGTTATGATTATCCCCATAACCACGGGCTACGTGCAGTCCTGTAGTACCCCCGACTTTTCGAATGAACCGGCCGGGTGCGGCATTTTCTTCCCTCATACGGGTTCCGGTTCTGGTAAATTTACGTTGTGTGTGAGCTGTAACATGTCAGAAAGGAAGGAAACCGAAAAAAAAAATCCAGGCATTGCCGCAGGGAGCGCACACGAGCAAGAGATGGGTCGACAACGCTAAGCCTTTCGTCGCCGCTGCCCTCGCGTGTGGTTCTGTTGCGACTTGTTTCCTTCTTCCCGTCGTTTGTCTGTTGTCACCGCAGTCTCGTGTTCGCTTGATACTACGGCATTTACGTGGATTCGCGGAACAAGTCCTGCTACGGTTTGAGTGACATGTGTGGCAAATAGTCAACGATGACACTGGTCGATTATCGACAGACCTCCCTCTCGACAAAGAGAGACTTGGAGTTCGTGTTAGAAAGTTTTTGTGACGGATGGATACGATGGACAGGCGAGAAACAACTTATTTACGGGCTTTCTTTGTCATGTAGGATAAATTGCTGCAGTCGTTTTTTTTCTTTTAATCAAGTGATAGAATGGATTTTTGTTGTTCGTCGTTATCCGTGTTCACTTGCGTCGATATTTGTAAATATGCGTGGTAATCTAGTTTTTACTGGAACGTAAATAACAAGTTTGTGTAATTATTGAAAGTGGGTTGTTTGTGCTTACATGTTTATATATACTAATGTTATTTTATTGCCTTTACCGCGTTTATACTAGAATCTTAACTGAGCCTGCAGGTTCGATTTTGCCAGGGAGCGCCACCGTCGATCCGCCATCTTCGAGGTCGCGGTTTGACCGGTTTGACTGGCTTGGGTTCACTTTTGCTTGGGTACGCGGCGGTCGTCCGTTGCACTGTGTGCTGCAAATTTCGTATCGTGAAGAAGCTTTGTTGAACAGAAGAGAGAGAGAGAGAGAAAAAAAATGTTTATCTCGGGAGCGGGACGTTTTAATTTTTTTTTTTTTTTTTTTTTTTTGTTGCCGCCCAGTACCGTGTGTAAGGCGCGAAACACATGTACGACGAAACCGTCCGATCCGACGTGCGGACTGCCGGAATGACCTTGGGGGGAGAGGGTTTTCGTAGCATCGGAGAGCGTTGAAAACCCTTGCCTCCGACCGTCGTATTGCGCGGTCGGACGTCGGATCGGGCGGTTTCGTCGTACATGTGTTTCGCGCTTAAAGGGGCCCTGCAATGACTTTTTGACAGGTTTTTAATTTGCACTGAACCTGAGCGTACTGAACGCAGTAACTTAATCCAACTTTTCTTTTCTCAAATTTCGCTTTATTTTAAAAGTTATAGGCAAATTAGAATTACAAAAACAAGCAAAAAATAACCTCCTTCATGACGTCGTAGGTCCTGACTTAAGTGGCCTTGAACTAGAGGAGGAGTAGTGAGCTCATCGAGCGCACACGGCTGCCGCACTCCGTATCGACGGCTCGAGAGGGCGCCACTGAAGCACGTGTTGGATAGTCTATATGAAGCGGGCGGCCAGGGCAGCTCGAATTGCATTTGCTGCGCGACTAATCACTAATTCGGCATAACACTTCATCGGCCACAAACGACAGTAAACACGGGGTAAAGATTAGTTCAGAAATGGGAGCCACTTCGCGCTGACGCACCGCCAAATGGCCAAATCGCCAGCAGGGCCCACGCCGAAGGCCTTCGGAACGCTGGGAACCGGTCGGATTCTTGAGCCGGTATACGACCACAGCGCCGCCGCGTACATCCGGGACCTTTCTACGCTCCTCGTTTGTCGTAGCCTCATCCCACTAGCCTTTTCTAGTATGCGCCGTTTTTTTCCGCCGCTTGGTGGCGGGTATGTCGACGGGTCATTTCTCGTTTCCGTACTTTCCAAACTGCATTTGTTTCTTTTCTGATCTAGAATAGTGAACAAAAACTACTTTCATACATAATTGAAACGGTTCGCGACACTTTCATTTTGTATCTCGACTAAAAAAAATGCTCTTAGCGGCTTTGACCAGTGGCAAGCCCAGGACCAAAGACGTCACATTTTGCGCGCTTTCGGTACCGCGGGTCGCCCTCGTCGGTGGAGGAGGTTTCCGCGCCGTCCGGTTAAAATATGTCGCACTGCTATTTAGTTACTCTCTCCGTGCCCGCTGGCTTGCCCGAACCGCAAGAGACGTGGAAACCGCAAAAAAGGTAGATGCTTAAATATGATTGCAGGGCCCCTTTAAAGGCTGAACCGCATGTGAGCAATTTAGCGAGCAACGGGACGACGACGACCCGCTTCGGTGTCAGTCGCGCGACTCGCTCGGTTACTCGCGTGACGAGGCAAACCGCATGAAAGCGGCGGGAGCAAACGACCAAGGCGATGAGTGACGATTTCCAGAAATCCAAAAGCGGAGCGACGCGACGAGCGACCGTGAGAAATCTCCGTCGCTCGTCGCTCGCTAAATCGCTTACATGCGGTTCACCCTTCATTGTCACTCGTCGCGTAGCTCGGTTTTTAGATTTCTAGAAAACTTCGCTCATCGCCTTGGTTGTTTGCTCTTATCGCTTTCATGCGGTTTGCCTCGTCGCGCGAGTGACCGAGCGACAGCGAAGCGGGTCTCGTCGCTCGCCAAATTCCTTACATGCGGTTTTTAAATTGTTTGGGCTAATGAAAAGTGCGCCGCGCTGCACGGTATGTTTCTGCACAGGAACGAACACCGAAGGCACGACGTACGACACGGAGGCGATGGGGCAACGCGCGGTTACACGTCCGTAGTGCAGAAAAATCGCTAGAAAAAAAAAGAAGAAAGAAACTAGCAAAACAAAACAAAGAGTAATCACACCGTGCTACAAAAGCACCAAAGTAGAAAGTTCTTGCAAAAGAGCTACCGCCGTGGGCCATACCTCGGCAAACTCACTCATGAACTCGCTCACTCACGCTCACTCACACTCACCGCGTGATTGTGAGTAGCTGTGAGCGAGTTCGTGAAGTTTGAAGAGGTCATGATGTGGATCATGAGCGACTTCATGAGC